CAGAATGTAAGCAGAGGGTTCCTCTGAAATCTGATTTCATAGGCGTGGAAAGATCTGTATTAATATACTCGGCCCCAATTACAGGAGATCTCTAACTTTGTTTCTGTCCTCACAGATATACAGTGGTACCTTGCAAGACGATTACCCCTCAAAACGACAAATCTGCATGACAACGAGATTTACGTCCGCCATTTTGCTTCACAAAACAGTGATTCCTATGGGGGAATTTCGCTGGACGACGATTTGGTCCATGTTTCACGGACCGTTTTTTCGTAAGACGACAATTTTTACAGCTGATTGTTGGCTTCGCAAAATGGCTTCCCTAGGGGCGATCTTCGCAAAACGGTTGTTTTTGGGCCCGTTTTTCGCAAGACAGCGATTTAAAACAGCTGATCAGCACTTTGCAAAGCGGCTTCCCTATGGGCGATTTTCGCTGGACAACGACAATTTTTCCCCATTGGAATGCGTTAAACGGATTCCAATGCATTCCAATGGGGAAACACTTTTCACAAGATGATGTTTTTCACAAGACAGCTATTTCAATGGAATGAATTAACATCGTCTTGCGGGGCACCACTGTACATGATTCATAATAATGCCAATCCTCTTATTTCAAATGAGATGCTCAGACACTACTTGCAAAAAGTCAACATCAAACTTACAAATCTCCCTCAGAATTGTATTTTTGAAATTTTTCCACCCTATATATTACTTTCTTCAATATAACAAAATGGGTCTCTGTTGCCTGATTTGTTAGCAAAATAATAAAAGAAACAAATCAGTTACATTCATTTGGGACTTACTTACATTCTACAAAATTAAGTAAGTACAGTTATGAACAGAAATATGTAATGGAACATGAAATTCAGCAAGACTACATAAATACTCCTTTGTGCTACAGAAGAAACCTCTTCTGTCTTCTAATAAAACTTCTAATGCGACCAGATATAACTTGATCCAACATCTATCTTGATCCATGTGTACCAACCCCTTTCTTTTATATCCCTTCCAGTAAGAAATATACAAAACAACTTCCTGCCAGCAAATGTTTACTGTAAGTCCCACAGTTCTGGGCATTATTTGCAATAATACATTGCAAGGGAAAAGAGCTATTTATAACTTATTTCTCTGTGGGAAAAGAGACGCTATAATATGGCATTTGACAGACCGAACTATCCCTTGTGGTTACCTAAAAGAGCTATGCCATATCTCATCCCCCTCCCTCGCCCTGGAAGAAACTGGAATTTAACTGTTAGAAATACAAACTACAGGATAAGGTCAAATGGCATAACAGGCACCTTTCTGGATTCATCTGATCAAGTCAAAAAAAGGATTACATGGACAAGTTAGAAAGCACCAACAGTGGAATAGAAAATGACTTAAAGTTGATGAAAAGACAAGGAACACAGGTGTATGTCTCCAGCACATTCATAAAGCATTTTGTGGTGATGGATATTTGTGAACTACCTTGCATTACAGGCCATCAAATATTATTTCTAGTCCTTCCAGATAGTGTTTCTAATTCTGACTTTGGGTTGATAAGGTAAACAGAGGAGTGAGGGCTCTCATTTCCTCAGGGATAAAAAGAACTCTACCCCCTGTGAAATGGCAGATACAATAGAATGTGATCAACAAAACACTTTTAGCTGATTTAATTTTCTATTAAAACAGCTTTCTACAGTCACTTGAGCTCCAAAATACAGTGAAACTCTAGCTGTTAGTCTATGCCAGAAACAGATGCACTGCTTAGGCCACAGGGCTACTGCATTATCACTGCACAGGAGTGCAGTGATGTTATTATGCAGCAAAGCAAATCAACATTCTATAAGGTATTTTGAGAAATGGGTCACCCAAAACAAAAATGTGTAACTTTGGAACTAGGCCAAGTTTGGCACCGATGTAGCAGATGGTCTGTTCCTTGTCTGCATCAAATTTTGGGAGTTTGGGCAAAGGATTTTTGAGATTTGATTTTTTAAATTGCAACACTGTAACAAGCTTTTTAAATTGTAAAACTGGTGCAGAAACAACCAGCCTTTAACACCCTCAGATTTAAAACAGTGTGCTGTTTATATATCACCCCATAGTGCTTGAAGCACTCTCTGGGTGGTTTACAAATTAATTATGCAGTCTACACATTGGCCAACTCCAGCAAGCTGGATACTTAATTTACTGACCCCAGAAGGATGAAAGACTTGAGTCGGCTACCTGGGATTGAAGTCAGATCGTGCACAGAGTTTTGACAGCAGTAGTGCACTATAACCACTACACCACAGGGCTCTACAGTTTTATAGTAAGACTTCTGGATTTAAAAAAAATGTGCTTATACAGTTTTCTCACAACTGTATGGGTGTCTTCACTATATTTTGGACTTGCTACTTTGAAAAAGGCTACAGAGAATACAGAAAATTTTTAAAAATACAGTCAACCCTCGACTTACGAACATCCCTAGATATGAACTTTTTGATTTACGAACGGCTCTGTTGGCAAAAATTGGCATCAACTTGCAAATGGAGCTCGACCTATGAATGAGATTGAGGCTCTGCTTGCAAGTCAATGCCATTTTTTGTGAACGGAACCGTTCGTAAATGGCTCCCTGCAAAAAGGGCAGAAAATTCTAATTTCCCGCCCTTTCTCCCTGCCTTTTTGCCTTCATTGCTCTCAAAGGGCTTTCCGCCCAACATCGGAGCAAGCCATTTGAGAGCTCTGAAGGCGCCGATCACAGCGGCAGGGACCCCCAGGGAGGTCTCCCATGGTGGTGGGCAAGCCCTGGGAGACCTCCTTGGGGGTCCCCTCCACCGCGATCAGCACCTTCGGAGCTCTCAAACGGCTTTACCTCCGACATCGGAGCAAGCCCTTTGAGAACTCCGAAGCCAAAAAGGCAGGGAGAAAGGGCGGGAAATTCAAATTTCCAGCCCTTTTCCTCTGACTTTTTGCCTTTTGAAATGCTGGAACAGATTAATTCCATTCCCATGCATTTAAATGGGAAATGGTACTTCGATGTACAAACTTTTCGACATGCGAAATGGATTAAGTTCGTAAGTCGAGGTACCACTGTAACAAGCTTTGGGAGTTGCTTGGAATTACTGCAGATGACTACCAAGATGAATCAAAGGCTTCTGTTCTTTGCCCAGTAGGTCTATATATCTCTATATGACTCGTGGAGAAGTCAAACACCCTCCAAGGGCCTGACCTGGGCATACCTGCCCTTGCTACTCTGAGCCTCCAGCATTGGTGCTTTGTGGCACAAACCAGAAAGACAAGAACTCCACATCCGACAGTGGTTAACATGTGTGTGTGTGTGTGTGTGTGTGTGCGTGTGTGTAAAAAACAGCCTGAGGTCAAGATAGGGTTAGTGAAGTGAACTCGTTGCAGTATGAAATTGTGGTTTGAAACATCTGTTCAAAAATTTGCTGAGACCTCTGTTCAAATTACAATGAAACCTCCATTGTTTGAACTTTGCTGAGACCTCTGTTCAAATTACAATAAAACCTCCATTGTTTGAACTATCTTGTGCCAGGTTCATGGATCAGAGAATGGAAGAGGTACCACCAGTCAATCCAGGACAGGTCAGAGTCATCACAATGACATATAGGTTTCCAGTTGCACAAACACAAACTGGTTGTACACTCCCTTGCACAGACAGTATCACATGAAGAAATGCAATAGAAACGTGAAAGCCTTTCTCATCTCTTTCTCACAGGCAATCTTTAAAAACCACATTCTTCTCAGGTGCAAGCATGTTGACAAATTTCCTGGTGCTTTTGACAGAATTCACATTGCCGACAACAACGTTGTGAGCAAAAATCATCCAATATTTGCATCAAACTGCTTATTCCTGTGCAAAATCATGCAGAAAATGTCTGAAAACCTCAATGATTACTGTTTTCTTTAAGCGTTTGAAGCACTGGGTGGATTATTTGCATCCTTATTAACTCTCAGAAAGTCTTGTGCTTACTGTGTGCATGTGCTTTGTATTTGTAAAAGGAGAGAATGCTAGAGAGCAAATGAGAAAGAACTTGAGGAGAGAGAAAGAGCTCTTTGTGTTGCTTCTAGCTGGTGCCAAGGAAATGCCTGTGTGGCATTAACATTTCTCAGGAAGGTGTCTCCCAGTCTCCACGTCTACAGCATATACAGATCATGAACACGAAATTTAGCAAGTGCCCTTCCCCCCACTTATGCACCTGGGGGGGGGGAAAGGCTGAACGTAGCTAGTATATTGAGCAACCGATCTCAATGGGGGCAGTATGACTCCCTGGGGGGCCCTGGCACATTTGATGGGGGGCACAGAATGGAAACAATTCTTCACACATCACCTTATAAGGTTCAATATGGTGACTTATACAATCCTGATTCAGACTATATGTGTTTATGGTCATGGCCAAAAAAAAGGTTGAGAATGGCTGCTCTAGAGTTACATTTGATTTAGGCTATACTCTGTAATATTATGGCATCAGCTTAATAGGTGGTCTTTCCAACTTTATTTTGAATAGGCAGCAAAGCTGGTGTACGGGTGGGGAGAGGAAATCTTCCAGAGATACCAGCAGTTGTGGTACATGACACTGTCCTGACACAAGTAACTATCTCCATAACTGAGCATGCCCATAAAGATGGATTGAATGAAAAAGTAGCATTGGTTAAGTCATTTAAGACGGAACAGCATCTTCATTTCTTAGAATACAGTAGCTTCATTTTTATGTACCTCTTTAAACATTTCCAGCAGGCAATGGTCACTGTAATGTTTTACGTTTTTATGTTTTCCAATTAAAGCTTTTTTCCCATTACTATCCTCGCTGCTTTTTAAAATTCGCCTAAAATGCCACAGTTTAGATAATTTAGCTCTCTGTAATAATCCTTCATAGCAGATGTACTTGTATATTTTGAAGTTGAAGTGCTCCCTCTGCTGTGGTTTTTCTGAGGTACGTTTGCTCAAGTCCAAAGTAACTGAACTATAGCTTATTCTATTGCATTATATTTTAGAAACCAGCAAGAAACAATATTACCTGCTTCCACTGCTTACGGCTTCTCCTCCTCTTTGATACGTTACTAAAATGTGAAATAAAAATAGTACAGTGGTTAAGTTAATTTTTTCAGTGTGTTCTCCCTGGATTTGGAAAAGAGCACTACATAACTATTTTTGTACCTTGTTGTCAAATTTAAAGCAGTTCCCACAAATGTAAATATTGTAAATGTGGGCCTTTATTGTATGGTACCATAGTGCCACCTACATATCACTATCATTCCACGGTTTCTTCCTCCCATAAAACTAAACTAAAAATTAAAAAAAAATTTTTTGGCGCCACCGCTGTGTCTTGTACTTTATAAAACAGACTGTAATATACTATAGATGAATATTTCCAAACGTTTCTAGATAAAGGAAAATAGTTTAGACAGGATAATGCCTGAAAAATGTTATTAAAGAGAAAGCTCCAAATAAACTTGCTGTACTTTAGCTGCTGCTTCCAGGTTAAGCAATGGGTTAATGAAAATTAGCTTCGGTGCAAATGATGATGGATTCCTCAGCTATGCAGTTCCAAAACCAGGAATGTGTTTTAAAAGGCAGCCAAATTCTCTTCCTTAGAAGAACTCCAAAGTGGGGGTCTGCAAGCCAGAGATAACTGCTTGCAGCGATTACAATAACAGGATTAAATCACAGCAGCCAATGGTATGTGGGCCTTTTACTGAGAGTGCTGCTAAAGATGAGTGCCTGTTACCATTTAAATTCAGTGGAACTAAACTATTTGGATTCTGAATTATAGAAAGAAAAGTTTTAAGTTTTAAATACAGCCAGCATTTCAAACCACTCCTTGTCAAATCTTCCTGCTGGGTGTTGTGTAGCTATCGCTTATTGCACCAGTACTAATTCCAATATTTTCATCTTTACAGTCCTAAAAAGTCATCTTCTATGAGAAATCAGACACTGAGTATAAACATACTTAAATGTAAGCTTCTGAATAAATTCACCAATACTAATTATATGCTTAAATTTATCTATTTTTTTATTTTCTCTCCAGAGCCCAGATTGAAGCTGAGAACAGTCTAGTAAGTGTATTAGACACATGCTGGAAAACAGTTCTGAAAGTTGAAATAACCATGCTTAAATATATTGTATAAAAATGTTCATATTCCTACAGGAATCCATTAGTCCCAGCATCAACAACATTAATATCTAAATACTGTACATAATATCTGATTATCATAATGATACAATAATAATGACTTTCTGAACCATTATATGTTTAAGCCATAAATCTTCACAAGCAGTGGCTACATACTTGATGCTAGGACTGTTGTTTTTTTTTTAACATTAAGGGGTGGTGTTTTTTTTAATGATACCAATTTATGAACAGAGATCTATACACAAAATATAACATTAGTTCAAACTAGAGAAGACTCACTGAAGTGGATGGGACGTCTTTAACTCCTCTTTGATTCCACTGGGCCTAACAGCAAGTCGTGTCCAATCTTATAAGGACACCTGGCCTTGTTATGGATTGAGTTCAACATTTTTTTAATAAATAAGGGTATCCGTGAAACATTTAGCTCATATCTGTCAGGATCAGTGTGCCAAGTACAGATAGGCTATCATGATTCACTGCTGAAGTTCAGGGTAATTACTAGGTGAAGTTTAATACCAATTACTTTGCTTTTTCATATTTTATATCTTTTGCTGTTCCTATGGCATGATGTTTGTCAGTGTTCAGAGTGAAAGAAGTTTTGCTACACAGGGACTTACAAACAACATCAAACTTAACAGAGATTTTCCAACTTCCTTTAGATGACTCTCTGCTTAAGGATTAAACAGTGGTCCCTAATCAACAGAAGGGAATGCTGTTTTCCCTTATACAAAGCCCTTTATTACTGAACAGTTCATTGTGTAAGATAGGATATAAATGGAGAGATTTGCAATAATGGAGGCCAACAGAATTCAACTATTCTATAAATTGGTATGGAAGACTATGAGATGTGCTGCAGCCTTTCAAAGAATATAAAAAGTTACACTTCAGATAGCAGTGATACATTGATAACATAGGTACAAGGATGTTAAGGATACCTTAAGTAACATTAGTGGTGCTTCTGTTATATAATATGGTGCCTTGTTATAAGGGAAAAGGGAAAAGAGGAAGTGACATAGTATCACACAGGGGCATGCCGAACCGACAAGGGAAAAGTGCAAATATATACCTGTTGGTGTGAAGGTAAAAGACGGGACTGAAAAATCAAAACATAATAAAAACCAGTTATTAAGCTGAAGAAAGAAAGAGAGACCGTACAACATTAGTATAAATCAAGGCAGCAACAGAACATAAAGCAAGGGTAAATACACCCACAGCGGTGTGTGAATAAAACAAAACTTGTGATTTTAAAAAGAAGCTTTTTTCCACAGATACACTTTTTGAAGAAGAATGACATTCTACTGCAGTATGCTCTTGAGAGAAATAAGAGTGTGGTTTAGCCTCTGAATGACCTTACTTTAGAGCATTATATTTTGTTGCAGTACCACGTACAAATAAAGATCCCACGGTATATAAAATTAAAGCAGACTTATGCTTACTTTTACAAGTGTATGCAAGATTTTGCTTGACTTTTAATTTCACTGCATCAAACAAATAGAATAATATAGGCACTTACTTATTTGGTAAGGGATCTGAAAGTACTAGGAGCAACTATAAAATAGCTTGGTTTTATTTTACGTGGCCCTGTAACTCTGTCACCCTTTACTGTAACAGCAAATCAGTGTTATAGCTAGCTTTTAAAACTATCTTCTTATAAAGAACATAGGGCACACATAAATCTGGTTTTATTATTCTGTTTCTGAGACTATTTTGGTATTTTTGATTAATAACTACAACAATTTAAACAGAAATTCTGAGAATATAATACTTCTTCCTTTAAAAATACCCACCCTTCAGCTATCTCAGTCCCTGTGAATCTTAACTGAATCAATAAAACCTCTAATCAAAAAGGATAGCAACATTTACTCCATTTTTTTCCTAGCACACACTTCCTCTTCTGCTGAACAATAGAATATATTTTCTGTATTGCTAATGGGAAGAAGAAAGCCATGAAAAGCTCCTTAATTCTAAGAAGAAGAAGAAAAAAAATCCTCAAGTAAAAGCGAGAAAAACAGCACAATAGTTTCTAAATAGGTTTTGGCCTTGAAATTTAGGTTAGCAGGCAGGCCACAAAAGGATGATGGAATGGCTGAGATATAGATGTGCCAATAGCTCATATTTTGCTGCATATAGATCTGATTTTTGTATTAGAAATGGCATCCTTAAGTCTCTAAGGGCCCAGAAAAGCCTAATTTAGAACATGCTGCATATGCGCCTCTGTTCTTACCAAGCCACTTTATTTCTAGGAATATTGGCACAGAGCAAAAAATGAAAACCCCTAAACAATTCAGGCACTGTCCTTCATTTAGAGCAGTGCTTTTTTCATCTCAGGAAACCTATTGTGATTCTCTTTCTGTGGGTTCTTTTCACATAGTCAAAGGAATTTAGTGTCATTAATGAGGAAGATAACAGAGCCACAGTAATAAAGCTTTCACACCAACACACAAAATAGTGCATTTAAAATAAGTGTTACTCAAAAGACTAAAGCACACCCACATTAATTTGAAAATAACAAGGATATGAGAAGAGACAAAAGATTCTTGTCATTACATTCTTGCAAACTAAATCCTCAGCACAGGGTGGGGTACGCTTTTTTATTTTGTTTTTGTTTTGTTTTTTGCGGTGCTTTGCTTTGTTTCCTAAGAAAACAAAGAGAGGTCAGTCTCTAAAAAATCCTTAGATACCAACTTAATTATCAAATCTTACATTATTTTTTTAATGTTTTCACTGGTACTAATGAAATATGTATGTGTATGAATACAGAAATATTTTAACAGTTGTCAAAGCTTCATCCTGGATTCTCACAAAGAAAGAAAAGGAATTAATGAAGTTCACAGGTCCTCAGTTTTTATGTTGACATGTCTGACTTGATGCTCTGAATGCTAACAGATGATCTTATAATTTACATTTCATTGAGGATAATCATTTTCTTTCAAATGTGTGTAAAAACTTTGTTTCAAATAACTGTTATTAACATATTAATGTTTCTAATTTTTGGAATGTTGATTAAAACATACTGGAGTCACCCACAAAAATCTGTAAGACACAAAGATTGCAAATAGCTTTAAAAAGGTACCAGAATTTCAAAAACTGCATGCTGTGGATTTATCTCCATGTACATGAAAGTAGCAGTATTAGTCTACCATTATACAAAAGATTGCATGGCACCATGCAATTAGTAAAGTGAAATCAGAATTGGTTAAAATAGTATGAAGGATATCACTGAAGTTTCCCAGGGGATCAAGAACCCAGCTTCTTTAGGTTTGCATAGGATTTACTGAACCACAGTTTTGCCACTTGTTTATTATTTCTATTTTGGTTTGAACAGTTCTATTTGAAAAAAGTCTGCATTCTAGAACACACTAAAGATTCTGCATTCTAGAGTACACATCCTAAAACATAATTTTCAGTCCTCACTATCTTTGTTAGGAAATAGTTGAGAAAAATGTTACTATAATTTTTAGAGCTTAGTCTCTATTATATTACATCATTCAATGACTGCGCTCAGAAATACAACTAATTAAGAGATCAGAGTTTATAAAGTTACAAAGAATAACATGATTGTTAGGTTTTTATAATGAGAAACAGCATGTTATTTTTATTTTTAAAGAAAAAAATTAAAATATGTTCCCAGTACATTGGTCAAAAATGAGGAAATGTGATACACAGAAAAATGTGTAGTGTTGTCATAATTATCATTGTGTTAAAAATTAATGATGTTGGCCTTCATTTTGCATATTAAGAGTAACGTGGCTACTTTTAATGTGGTATTTCCAAGCTCTGTGAAAAACTTGCAGGTTATAAACACTTATGGCTTAGAGAGTTTCTTTGCAGTTTCCATTGCTTAAGAATATTTGGTTCTTTAGCCCAGTTAAATGTCAACATGTTAACCACTAGTGGTAAGAAGGAGCATGGTCTTTTACTAAAGGAAGTTACTAACATATTCACATTAAAAAGCTTGAAATCAATGCTTGTTTGAACTTTGATGTGAAGCCTAAAATGCATCAAGATGTTTCTCCTATTTCCAACTCCATCTCTATCATAGAAAGCGATTATTTTGCTACTTCAATTAGCCTTGACTATTATTACAACCCTATGATGGTTGTGAAGAAGTTTTGGTCCTTTAGATGTTTTAGACTTGAACTCCTCTCAGGTCCAGCCAACAAAGCAAATTGTAACATATTAAAGGAACTGAAATCCAAAACACCTGGAGAACCAATGATATGCTGTGTGGTGTTGATACAGTTCTCACACTCAATGCAGTATTAAAACATGGGATTTCACCTCACTGATGAGGTAAAGGCATTCACTTCCATCTCCCCTCTAAGATAGTACTTTCACTAGCTCTGTGTGCATCTCTCACTATAGGTTTATTGTGCCCAAACTGATAGAAATTGACACTGAGCTAATGTTGGCAGACTCCATTATCTGGGAGCAATAAGTAAATTTGACATTAATGCTATCCATTCTTTCCTAATGCTAATTTTTATATGAGGCTTAGAGAGCTTCTGATCTCAATGTATCATCACAATCATCAATCTGGCAGTGGTATCAAGGATTATTTTTAGCTCCTCCATTCAACAAGAAGGTTGTGACCCTTTCTATGCATGTCAGACAGTAACAATTACCCATAATTTATAACATCACAATATGTTATATGTGTTCTGCCCCTGAGAACTATGTAGAGCAGGCTTCTCCAACCTGCTGACTTCTGACTGGCCATGAAGGTTTGGACATGATTGTTTTACATGTGTAGAGTGCATCATTTTGGGAAACACTGGTGTCAAATCTTCCACCAGTGCAGCAGAGCATCTTGATAGTAGTGGCTTGTACCATATCAGTGATTCATGATCATTACTGGCTTCCAGCTATAAAGAAAAGTGCAAGCAGACTGACCTATAAAGTAATTACTTGTAGATTCACTGAACGATACAAGAGGACTGTCTTCTCTCATTTGTACCACTGCAATAGATTCAATTGTCTACCAAAACTTTCCTGATGTTACTCTGATGTTAATCAGAATGGATAGAGAACATAAAGATTATTCTTGGTAATAATTAGGGTGAGTATCTCCCTCCTTCAAACATACCAACATTTTAAGCAAGTTTCAATAGATGTTATTAGACCATTCTATCTGGGCTCACCTCTGTTTAAACCAAGAGAAATTTAATTACTTGGGCTGTATACATTATTCAACTGTAATTAACATCATAGGATTAGTCTTTATTTAGTTTATTTTTATCAGCTTCATGTATTAGAGGGGAAAATGTATCAGATTTTAAAAGGGCACCACAAAATACCTTTTCTGATGCCAGCATAAGTACTAGCAAGTCCATTTCGTTTCTTTCTGTGGCGGTATAACCAAATGCTGAAAACCATTAGTATAATCCAACAGGCAGCACCAATTCCAGCAATGAATGCAGGCTGCTTTACAACATCTGAAATCTGCTGGGCTAAACTGACTTGATCTTCTGGTGAGACAGGGTTTCCGTGAGAATCTGAAGAAGAAAGGCAACATATTTTATTAAAACCTGGAAATGGTGGTTATATTTAATATGCTGTAAATTTTCCATACTACTTTACTTCTTTTATTTGCTAGAAGTACAAAAACATGAGAAACAGGGTAAACACATTCAATTGTCTACCAAAACTTTCCTGATGTTACTCTGATGTTAATCAGAATGGATAGAGAACATAAAGATTATTCTTGGTAATAATTAGGGTGAGTATCTCCCTCCTTCAAACATACCAACATTTTAAGCAAGTTTCAATAGATGTTATTAGACCATTCTATCTGGGCTCACCTCTGTTTAAACCAAGAGAAATTTAATTACACAAGAAAAACTGCCATTGTGCAGTTCTGCCTGATACTAATAAGTAAGCAACATTGTTATTAAGAGCTGTTGTTCTGTGGCACCAAGGGCTTTCCAGCCTACAGTGACTTCATAAATTCGCTGGATAACTAAGTGTTTTAGGTATCTGGCTAGAGACTGGGAATCTCTACTGTGTCTCTTTGACAAGGGCTTGAAGACTCAATGATCCAAAGAGTTCCTTTCCATCTCTGCAGTTCTGTTGTTGTTGTTGTTGTTGTTGTTGTTGTTGTTGTTGTTGTTGTTGTTGTTGTTGTTGTTGTTGTTGTTGTTGTTGTTGAATTTAAAAATACCAGACAAAGTTAAAAGTTCTAAAAACATTTAGTGGTATTATATAACTGATTAACTGATATAAGTTTTAACCAACCCCCCCCCCAAAAAAACAAGTTAAATATCAGCACAGTATGTATACTATTCCTAATATTCCTATTTTTTTTAAGCTTTGTTGTAGCTCTTACATGCTGTTTTAATTCTTCCATAGTTTCAACTATTGTTTTCCTTTCTAAGTCATATGTTTCACATAGTCTGGCATTTACTTTTTCATTTTGAAAGTTCCCTTTCTGTTCAGTTGGGTATAGGGAGTTTTCAGTTAAGTAATTTATATACTGCTCTTCCAGTACTCCTGTGAGGAGCTTGAACATTATTGGAAGGCATGTAATCGGTCAATAATTACTGGGTTCATTGCCCTTTTGATGATATTTTATTATCAGAAATGTGCAACCTGTTGTCATTGAATATTCAGGTGTAACATTTTGGAGTAAGTGATTAATTTGCACTGCCATACGTTGATGGAGACATAGGGATGTGGTGGCGCTGCGGGTTAAACCGCAAAAGCCTCTGTGCTGCAAGGTCAGAAGTCCGGCAGTCGTAAGATCGAATCCACGCGATGGAGTGAGCTCCTGTTGCTTGTCCCAGCTCCTGCCAACCTAGCAGTTTGAAAGCATGTAAAAATGTGAGTAGATAAATAGGTACCACCTCCGTGCGAAAGTAACGGTGTTCCATGTCTAGTCACGTTGGCCACGTGACCATGGAAACTGTCTTCGGACAAACGCTAGCTCTATGGCTTGGAAAAGGGGATGAGCACTACACCCTAGAGTCAGACATGACTGGACTAAATGTCAAGGGGAACCTTTACCTTTACCTATGTTGATGGAGACTAGTTAGATGCTTTAACTAAAATGCTTTAACATTTAATAATTTCTCAATTTTTGGTGAGAGTCCAGGCTTTGCATTTATGTTGTTCCAGTAGCTTTGCAGCAGCTTGTCCTGGTTCCTCAATGGGGTCTGCTGAGCTGTGTAACCCATTCATCACCGGATGCCCAGCGGCTTAGCCACCCAGAGTGGTCGACCAGACCAGATGGGCGGGAAATAAATAAATAAATAAATAAATAAATAAATAAATAAATAATGAATAGCATCTGATGTGGTCCTTGTTGTACCAGGCGATGACTGATCCAGCATCGATTTCTGTTTATTTCCTCTCATCATAATTGATGGTTGGTTGGTTTGGTTTCTCAGCTGAGACCTGTCTGGCTTAGGAGACCCTTCAGCATAACTTTCAGCCTCACTGAAGTGTGCAAGCTCATAAATAAATAAATAAATAAATAATGAATAGCATCTGATGTGGTCCTTGTTGTACCAGGCGATGACTGATCCAGCATCGATTTCTGTTTATTTCCTCTCATCATAATTGATGGTTGGTTGGTTTGGTTTCTCAGCTGAGACCTGTCTGGCTTAGGAGACCCTTCAGCATAACTTTCAGCCTCACTGAAGTGTGCAAGCTCATCCATAAGACTTTTGACCATGTAGGGGATGATGATGGTGGTGATGATGATGATGATGATGATGATGATTAACTCTCAAAATACACATTCTTAAACAAATGACTAATTTACTACTTTTATATCTTTTATTGCCTTCCTATCCTGTCCTTCTCATCTCCAGAGTTTCATTATTTTTGTTAATATTATATGGAGGGTGAATACAATTTTTGAAAGTACTTTTCACTGGCCACTGGAAATGTTACTTCATATATTTCATATGCCATCATCTTTCATGATCCTGAAATTTCTTGGTTATCTGAAAGCTCAGTAAGTGTATCTATCCTGCTTAATGGTTGTCTTTTCTGAATTTCATGGTAATAATATCCATAGTTATTAATATAAAGTTAGGCTGCGTCAGATATTATGGAAAGCCACTCCTAAGCACCATAACAGACAGGTGAGTTTTAATCATTTAAAGTGTACTGCAACTAATTAATTTAAACTGTCATCTACTACATCTTATTTGTTATCTCGTGGCAGCTGAACTGAAATATGGGGAGGAGGATCACACCATTCTGTTTCTGTTACAATCATTTATCACTTCTATAGCACTGTACAGGATAAATATATCACTTCCATGAATAACTTACTTCTACATTATCATCACAATTTATCCATCTTTTTAAAAGTACCTTGTTTCATATTTTCAAGCATATTTTATTATAATAATGTAATTCCTTACCATCCCATGAAAACCTCTTATCAACTTGTCACAGAAGATAACTAGCACAGTATAAAATTTCAAGAAACCTAGAGAATTTTACAAGACAAACAGAGGGCCACATTCTCACATGCTATTAAGTACACAATTCATACAGTGAGTGTCTCAAGTAAGTAGAACATAACAAAAGTCTCCCTGAATCTTAACAGCTTTAATAGCACATATGGAGGGACTGTATTTGTAACCTAATTAACACGATGGCAATGATACCACTTCAAGTATTTGCATACTTTCTTATGCTCTAATATAGAAACAGAGCATGAATGAACACCCTCCTGTGGACTCAAGTATTAGAAAGGCAAGCTTGCTTGGCTTGAGAAAGTCAAGACTTAAAGAGTAAGTTTGAATATTCATCATGGTATAATAATGAGCATAAAGACTTGCACTGAACTCTATGAAGAACTTGGTACATGTCAAGCCTACCCATATCCAAATGCTTTATGTTCACATCAGCAGATAATGTTTCTCTCTAAACAGCCAATCAGTTGGATGTGAGAGCTCTGCTATCTTAGGAAACTCACAACACATCAGCACATGGAATCCCAAGCAAATTTTAGCTTGCTCATTGAATGATAATGGCAACAGAAATAACAGATATGTGTGTGAAAGAAATAAGGATACTGTGTGTGAATGCATGCAGGCTTTTTGTATATTACTTCAAATGTTTAAAGCATTGTAACACAATCAGCATTCAACAGTTTTGCAAAGGAGTGTTAGCAAACTAATACGGAGACTGTGCAAAAGACTCAAACTGAATTTCTGCAGCTGCCCTGAGGATCAGAAAAGAAAAGGTATCTTCCGCAAGAGCACCAGTAACTCCTATACAGTCCATTTCTGGAGCTTTAAACCAAAAAGAACATTAGGAAGTATGGGTACTTGCAACTGCCAGCAGATCATCACAAAATACCTGCTAATTAGTTCACAAATCACACTTCATTATGAGAGCTGTTACAATAATAAAAGTTCAAGGAGAGTTGCTTCTGTGAATCACACTTGGGACATCTAAGGCAGGAATAATACACTTAACATGTGCAATTATTTGAATGAAGCGTCTCATAAATACAGGATATATGGTATATTCATTCACATAGGCTACCATATTTCCATTAACTTTTGTGCTGAAAAAATTATTTGCCTGAAAGCCTGTCTGAAGAAATTACTGGAACAGCAAAAATAAAAAATAAAAAAGACACCACTTATTTGATGCCTCATCTACTGGGACTAAGAAGACCTGGATTCAAATTTCTGTTTAGCCATGGCAACACTCTGGGGTGAGTGAAGACAATGAAAAACCACTCCCTGGGCTTTTCGGATACTTAAAAAAATACTGGCAGGATTGCTATACTGTATATCAGACTCAACTTGCCACCATATAGCAATTGTGCACACTCAATAATTATGCAAGGAACACAGGAAGTCAATATCAAATGAATTCTGTTTATATCTGTGGTTTCTTCAGCTACTTATGCAGTAACAATAAGATTGTCAAATATGATAGAAAAAGGAATGATGGATAAGTGGTACAGGGTTGAGCCAACATTACTGTTGCTGAAATTTATTTTATGCAGTTTATTCTGAAATGCTGACACTAATTTACAACAGAGTCAATAGCTGAGCAGGAAGGTCAAACATGTGGTCAGAAGATTCTGAGGCTAAGGTTCTGTCATACAAAGAGAGTGCTCACTTGTATAAAATTCATCAAAGCACTTATATTGGAGAACGCACAACTAGCTTTCGTAGTCTGTGTTATGGAGGACAGAACTGAATGATTCTAACATGCAAAAGAAGTGAATGATACAGAATGTTGCAGCAGCAGCAGCAGCAGCACTGGCAAAATGCGAAATTCATCAGCAAACGAGGTTTGTGATCAACCTTCTGCTGGCTTTTATTTATACTAAAATACAGCTGTGGGTAGGCTGTGAATCTAGAATCTGTGAAGTAGAGTTGAAAGGTGTCTCTTTTGCTAAGGCTCTCTCATGAACTCTGAGATTTTCAGAGCTATTTCCTCAAAGCTTATGGGTGGAAAGATACAGTGATGAGGAATGCTATGGCACCAGTGTAAATGCTGGACATGCGGAGAACAAAGAAAGGTACGCTTAAGCTCATGAAACAATGAAAACCTTTAAATTTCCAATCAAAAATCATATGGTAAGCAACCATAGAGAAGAAGAGCTTCTGCAGCTTTCCTAGAACAGTGAAGAGATTATTTGGCAGAAGCAAATCCAGTCTACTAAGCGATTCTCATTGCATATCACCAGAAAACATCTCCTGCTTTTCAGCTCCCAAATGAAAAACAAAGCAGATCAAATTTGAAAAGGCTTACCTAACTGAATAAACTGTGGCTCACTTTTCACTCCAGGTCCTGCTGCAGTACTTGCTGCCACTTCCACACTATATCGAATACCAGGAACTAGGGATGGAATTACTACAGAAAATGTGGAACCATCCACTGTCTTATTTATATGGTACCGACTTTCATTGCCAAGGCACCAGACCTACAAAACATAAAGCAAGTATTGTGTGCATAGGCTTTAAAAGAAGAGCTGTAAATAATCCTATGAAATGTGCCATATGGTATTTTCTTCTTTACACAGTAAGCCATTTTAGCTCAGTTATTAGAGCTGTTGTAAAAATTGTTAACAAAATGATATAAACATTATTTTTTAAAAAAACTGAACTCTCTGAATAATTTGTGGTTAAGGCTACAGACCTGATGATACGCAACAGACATTTTCTGCTGTTTTTGAAAATTCAGAACAGCCCATATGGTAAACTGTGTGCAGCACAATGAAATGGTCTACAGCTGTGAGAATTTTCAGAATCAGAGGTTTTGAGTAAACTGATGTGTGCTGTGGTCCAATCCCTTTTCCCACAACCTTCCTAACATTAGCCAACATGTAAGTGCATTCAACTGAATGTCATTATCGGGATCTATTTTATCAGAAATCCTCCCAAGAAAAACTGCAGTTGGAGAGGCAGAAACTCAGTGCATATTCCCATTCCCTTCTATACTTACAATTCTGGAATGCCCAAAAAGGGCTTGGCACTTACCTACTAGCTACAAAATGTAGTTGGATCTATAATATTCTCATCAGGAAACAGACAATAGGCTTTATATATCTCAGCAAAAATAGGATGTTTTTCTACTAGAGATAAAAAGCAATATACCTCACACACACACACACACACAGAGAGAGAGAGAGAGAGAGAGAGAGAGAGAGAGAGAGAGAGAGAGAGAGAGAGAGAGAGAGAGAGAGAGAGAGAGAGAGAGAGAGAGAGAGAGAGAGAGAGAGAGAGAGAATGGTGCCTCGCTTTGCGACCTTAATCCATGCAGGAAAAAAAATTGCTAAGCGATTTCATCGCTAAACGGATTTGAAAAGCCCATAGAAACACATTAAAACACCATTAATGCATTCCTATGGGCTTCAAAACTAACCTTAAGCGAAAACCCTCCATAGGGGCGGCCATTTTCGGTGCCTCTAAAGTGAGGCAACACAGCGGGTGGCCATTTTGTTTTTCTGGCAGCCATTTTGAAACCGCCGATCAGCTGGCCAAAATGGGGGCTTTGCGATGATCGCTTCCCCACGATTATCGCAAAGCGAATTTTCCCCATAGGGACCATCGATAAGCGATCGCTTTTGCGTTCGCTTAAACCCTGTCGCTAAGCGATTTCGTCGCTCAACGGAGCGATTGCTAAGCACCGTGTGTGTGTGTGTGTGTGTGTGTGTGTGTGTGTGTATGTATATGTGTATATATATGTGTGTGTATGTATGTATGTATGTATGTACGTACGTACGTATGTATGTATGTAGGTATGTAGGTATATTATCTCACAGTGTGTGTGTGTGCATATAATTGTGTGCATCTCACAATTACCCTATATGTAAAAAGCACCAGTAAAAACAAAATATCAAATCATTAAAATTGTGAACAATTTCAATAGAAAATAACTGAGTGTATTAATAGCCACTATGAGGCTTTTCAGTTCATCCACTAATAATCACAGTAAAAGCAAATTTAAAAATGCAAATTTTCTACAGGAAATCAAGCAGTGTTATGATCAAGCTGATGTCTCTTCAGAGAAGGATAACCTATTTGTCTTGAATAATAAAGCTGCTTCTTCCCTAAACCACTGAATTTTAAAGGTCAGGAGATAAGGGTTAATTTCAGTTATTTGAGCAGCCAAACATGGGAAGAGATGGCTCTATATTCATACTATAGTGCCAGGTATTTATGACTTGACAGATCAAAAGCAGTTCTTTAAACTTCACCTAGAAACCAACTGGCAGCAGATGTAGTTGACGCAGGATTGGCAATGAATGCTAAAACATAAAGAATCACAATAAATCACACTACATGCAGTACTAGTTGCAGTTATGTTCACCATGATCAGAGATAAATAACCAAGATAATTATTTAAAGGGTTTAAGCTGATGGAGAATCCTGGGTGAAAAACTTCCTATCTTTATGCCTTTGGACATGTTAAAGCATCCTAACAGGTAATTCAATACTGTCAAAGCATCCTAATAGGTAATTCAATAAAAGATAGTTCTACAGTGCTACACACAACATAACTCCATGTCAGTCATTTTCTTCTTGTTGTTGTTTAGTCGTTAAGTCGTGTCCAACTCTTCGTGACCCCATGGACCAGAGCATGCCAGGCCCTCCTGTCTTCCACTGCATCCCAGAGTTGGGTCAAATTCATGTTGGTAGCATTGATGATACATTGGCATATAATGCATTACAAATAGAACAATCTGATTAAAACCACAAGGTTATGCTACCTAAAAACTAGATGACATTACTTTGGTCCTCAGAAATAGTGAAGTGAGAGATGGACATCAGGTTCTTCAGGACTGCCAGGTTTAAAAAATAAAAATAAAAAAATCAGCCCTTTAAAATTAAGAGGAATCAGACAATTCTAGAAAAAGATAATACACAACAGAAGCTTTTATAAAATCAATATACAATTGCCATTGTTACAAGTGATATTAACTACGTCATTTTGGCATTTCAGTGAAAAACTAAAATGTTTTAGTATGTTTGGATTCATTCATGGCTGATCTAAAGTAACATTAAGGAGATGAGCACATCAGATACTTCAGTGCTATTCAATAGGTCAGTGATCCCCAACCTTGGGCCTCCAGATGTTCTTGGACTTCAACTCCCAGAAATCCAGGCCAGCAGAGGTGGTGGTGAAGGCTTCTGGGAGTTGTAGTCCTAGAACGTCTGGAGGCCCAAGGTTGGGGACCACTGCAATAGGTCACTGCTTTCTGCTCAGCTGTGCTCCTAGCTGAACTCAGAAATGTTGATCCTCAAAGCTGGAAAAAGGAGAAGTATACTTTCATTAAATTTCTTTGTCTTCTCTGACTTAGCCTGAGGTGGCAAAAATATTTCCTGATCTTTTCATACATGTGAAACTTGCAAGATGACACTTTATAATCACATTCTGGAAAGCATCTTCATATTTTAAACTATTTTACTGTGACAGAATGGTGGGAGAGAGAGGTCAAATGCTTGGAGGCCAATAAAAAAAGTATTTTAATTTTAAAATAGTTTAAGAATAAATGCATCTGCTTTATATATAAAAGAGGATACACACTAACAAAATTATCCCCTAAATTCTTCTCTGCTTTATGATTTATATTTAACAAAATAATTTATAGAGATATCAATAAGCTGCCTGTTTCTACCAGTTTTAATCATTCTGGTTGGTTTTGCTTATGTACTGCTTTGACCACATTCAACATCCCTGTAAGGCATTCTGAAAAATATGGAAAACACAAATAATGATGTAAGCGTGTCAACCCTGCCCCGCATTGTTGTTTTCAACACACAAAATGGACAGTCTGATGACATTACTACATTGTATCATTTTTACATATCATTCGCAGCAGTAGGGTCAATAATAATTCATAGAAAAAAGAAATTAAGGCAAACATCATGTGTGCTTATTGGATATATTATTAACATGCTCTCCCATTTATTTATTTTTTTAAAAATAGAGTAATAAAATGTATGCACAGGGAGGTTTGTTAGATGATGCAGAAGAGGTTGCTGTCTAGGCTGCCATTGTTAAATGTCCAGGTTTCGATGGATTTTTTTTAACCCTGGGTTATGCTAGAAAATTACAGCAAGAGAAAATATACAGCAACCACTTTAAATTCTGTCAGCTCACTGTAAAATGTACCTATAGAAGTTATAGACTGGGGAAATGGTAATACCTCCCTTTTAAAAACAGCTGCACTTTTCAGGTGTTCATATCAAACACTTCAACCTACAATTTCCCTTGGAAGTCTTTCCTCTCCCCCATCTTGCATATTTCGGGCAGAAAAGGGGAGTAAAGCAGCCCAAGGTTTTCATAAATGTAGAGATCTCTGATACTAAATAGGTAAAAGTCTCAAGGTCTTTGACAGAAAATTGTGCTACATGAGCCAGAGAAAGGCTGCATGTTGTTTCTTTTCAAGGTAACAGTTTTGGCTTAGAGAAGCATAGATACATCATGCTCACTGGAAGGACAGATCCTGAAGCTGAAGCTCCAATACTTTGACCATCTCACGAGAAGACTCCCTGGAAAAGACCCTGATGGTGAGAAAGTGTGAAGGCAAGTCAGAGGACGAGATGGTTGGACAGTGTCATCGAAGCTACCAACGTGAATTTGACCTAACTCCGGGAGGCAGTGGAAGACAGGAGGGCCTGGTCCATGGGGTCACAAAGAGTCGGACACAACTTAATGACTAAATAAAACAATCATGCTTTGAAATCATTCCACCAATAAAATTTCTCAACACTACATATGTGAACTTTGAGGTCAGTTATAACTAGTTAATCATTCAAACATCTTCTTTCTTTAAATTACAATTAAACCACACAATTGCCAATATTCCTGATATGATAGTATTTTAGACTTCAATTACTCCAATGCTTCAACTGATTTACATACATTTGTCATAGTACGCTTTTATATAGCATGATTTTAGCTCATGCCTGCAATTTTAGCAAGAATAAAAACAGTGGAGGTGAGGTATTTTATAGTACGCTTTTATATAGCATGATTTTAGGCTGCAATTTTACCAAGGAATAAAAACAGTAGAGGTGAGGTATTTTATCCTGCATCTTTGTATGTATGTATGTATGTGTGTGTGTGTGTGTGTTCATATTTTAGCCTTTTATATGTGTGTCTTTTTTTATCAGAAAGACACATTCTAAAAGCATACATAAATTCTATAAAGACAGACTGAAGGATGGGAGACAGTTTCATTGTAAATTGATTTTCACCACCAGATGGAGCCAAGTAACCACAGAAAACTTTCCTATTCATACCTTGCCAGTATTTTGCCTTATATTCCCTTATAAGGTACATTACCTTATATTCCTGAACCATTCCATTCTGTGTGTCCTCTGGGGGAGGCTGCCAAGTTATTACAATCGCAGTGCCATTTCCATCATTCTTGGTTACTGAAACACTTTGCGGAGGAGCACTAGGAGCTTATTTGTAGAAAGAAACGCAATTTTAATTAAAACGTTTTTTCCAGTATCATTCTTAAAGAGAACTAAGATGCAGTCTGGATTCAAAATATATTCTGTCACATGGGAATACAACTGGAACTTTTATATAAATATATTTAAAGGATTAATACCATAATATCAGAGATATTGTTCTTGCGGGATTTTTAGAAAATATGATGTCACTTTTAAAATATCTGTTCCAGAGCTTAGAACATTATTTCTGAAAAGCAGTTTAACCCACAATTTGTTTTCAAATCCCACTCTCCCCAATGTGATTTTACAAATTTTTAAATGTTTTGCTGTTCAGTTACTTTAAAAAATTACAGTAAAATAAATAAACACCCTTCTCAGCAATATCCGGGGAAGAACAAGCACACCAAAAGACAATATTACATTAAATTGTTCTATAAAATATCATTGTTACTCTCTTATTACGTCCCAAACTTTGCTTGGCTAAGTGGAGACAAGAAGGGATCATTTATCTTACAGAGTCCCATCCCACATATCAGAAACTTTGTTAATACCTCTGTATAGTTCAGAGGTCACAAAAAATCCATGGCAGTAGCAAGACTTTCTAACAAAATCAAAAAGTTGTTTCAAATGTCTTATTCAACCAGTGATCAAAGATAAGTTGATTCCCGTTAAAGCTGTCCTGTGTACCCTCAGTAACTGCTCAGGAGGATTGAAAAAAACCCCTCTACAATAGCATATTAGGTGTAAGGCAGTGTGGAACAATGAAGGAAAAATGTTGAGAGTGCACAGAATATTGTGGCAAGAGATCACATCTCTCTGGGTCTGCTAATAGAGCTTGTTCTATTAGCAATGTACTCAATGGTTTCCTGGCTTTAAACTTTCACCTAGTGTTTCCTATATCAACCATTTTTTGGCATCCCTAGGGGTGACATCAGGTTTGGTGGGTTGAGTACGGTGGACTCCATGAGCCCTGTAACTAAAGAGTAGGGAAATTTTGTATATCATTTTTTAATTCTTTTGTTTTTCATGAACACAGGCAGAAAGTACCAAAGTGTGTGCCTTTCATTTTTTGAACTACAGTTGTTTGATGGTTAAAGGTGGTCTCTACTATCTATCTTAGTGATTATCAAGTACAGTCATTTGGGTTGTCCTATGAACTCAGCAGACAAGGAATCAAATAATGTAAGTATAAGGGAGAAAAAGAATACAATTCCTCCTATGTTCTAGGGGGGATTTCTCATATATATGCTTTGAATATCTATTTCTATGTCAACAAATAAGACACATAACCATCAGTCTTTGCTCTCACAAACTTTCTAGGGACAGATGGCTGAGTTCCATTTGTTTAAAAAATGCACATCAAAGAAAACCAACAAATGAGCCTATTATGGAGAAGGAAACCAGAATACAGTACTTCAAAAAGAAAAGATAAAGACAGATATGCTACTACTTGCCTTCTTCCAAAGTTTTGGCAAATTTAACTTCACTGTCAGCTCCTTGAAACTCGTTAAAAAAAGGCCGAGCTTTAATTTCATAGTTTACTCCTTTTTTAAGCTCAGGAATGACAGCACTGTTTTTTGTTGGTGTCCTCACTTCAAAAATCAACCACTCAGATTCCCCCTGTGTAGCAGCTGTTGGCCGGTACAAAATTTTATATCCTTGAATATATTGGGATTGTTGATCTACCTAACAATGGCAAGAGAATAACCGTATTAATTGGTTAATATGTATCATGTAGTAAAATATGATATAAATCAGGGCAAACTGTGACATCCATTCATTTTTTTCTCCAAGATATTAATATTAAAGTAACTTAATATGGTAGCAAGGCTCTGGTTGGCAGGGACTTAAAACTGCTACTTTGGGAACAATTCAGAGAACAGTGAATGTGATTTTTTTTAAAAAAAATCACCTCTTTGTGATATCACAAATTGCTTGCAAAGCTTTAAAATACCCTTTTGCTGTGTGACGCTGGTATCTTAAAGATACAACCAAACACCTCTTGGACACAAGATACACAAGTCCTTGGCAAAAATCTGTATTCTTCCAGGCAATTCGGCGGGCAACACTAAGCCAGCCCCTTGTATTTCACAGAAATAAGTCATAAAAATACTGTACCTTACCAATGTAAAAGTAATGTAAAAGTCTGTATTATGAAGAATGTATGATATCGATAAAATACAATGCAATCATAATATAAGCAACTATAATTCACTTTAATCATACTGGCTTTATTATAATTAAAAAAGGAATATAGTATTTTGAAATAAGATATATAATTATTTCACTCATGAGGCACAGTGAGCAAAGTAAAGGAAAACTAGATGTATGGCTATTCAGGGTATATGGAGATACAAAACACAATGATTTATTAAAATGCCTTTACTACAGTGTTAGAACATATTAGAAATAGATTGAAAACCTAATTAACACTGAAGCATTAAAGTTTACAAGTTTATAAGACTATCAATATATTTTTCTGAATAAACAATACTTGGCAATGTATAGTTTGGGGAAAGGGGGCAAATCATTTACATTGTTTATAATAGGCTCTACCCATACATTATAATTTAAATGTTCAGAAAATAAGGAGAATGATCAGGCCCTCCCTGTCCAGTCCTTGCTTCAGTTCAATCTAGCTATTTCTCAGTTGAAGGAAAAATAGTCTCCCACATGTATAGATTGATTCATGTTCTCCTCCATTCTACCTGATCACATGTATGTATGTATCTAATTAGCAGGCTATAGTGATAAACTTCATGCAATCGTTAATTGGTTAGTATTCAAAAAAACTTGTTGTAGTTTTCCCTTGAACACAGTGGATTAAGAAAGGGCAGCCAGTTGGCACAATCTACATTCCACTAACTGCACTTGGTTCAATTAAATATATCCAGATTAAGCAAATCACTTCCTCTACCCTCACGTTCTCAGCTGGTAGCACTACATAGGATGGCTTATTCTGTTTTATGTTATCATCAAGGGGATGAATAAAATAACATTGTTTATTGGAAAAAAGAGTGGATACATATGCAAATTAATATGAAATGTATTAGAACTGTGCATGGTTTTGATCAATTTTAAAACTATTTATACTGTTTGAAATATTTGTGTTCCCAGTGTAAATCAGAGAAAGAAGCTATAGATTGTGTAAATCTTGGGTTATATAAGAGTTCTACATGCTTCCCATCACATGTAAATATCTAGAGGATTTATATATTGTGTTATGCCAGCATCTCCTGGTCCAGAGAAATGTTATGGTCAAGCTAATCAGACAGACTAATTTTGTAAGAGCATTTATATATTACAGGTATGTGCAGAACATTTATGCAGAAAAATCTGTATACTTAAGACTGGACTCCCCTAGTTACTGTACTTATCACCCTCAGATCTTATGCAAAGTGAGTTGAATTAATTTAATGTAACATGTCTATATGTTTCATATGCAATGACTGAAATACAGTAGTAATTGGAGTATGTACTTTATAGAGATTTAATTGTGTATGCTAGCAAAATTTTATTTACTTACTGTCCAATGAACTTCAATTGAGGAAGAAGAAAGAATTGTCGGATTATGTAGATGTAGAACCACAGCACCTAGCTCTCGCTGTACTTGCTTGTGATCTACACCTTGACTTGTAGGCGGAACATCTGTGACAATTTTAGCAAACAAACATTACAAATTTTAACAACAAATATGACAAATCACTTCAAAAATGGTTAACTAACATTCTCCTCTGGGAGAATGTTAGTATATAGGAAGATAATATATGTTCTTAGTTATGTTCAATACTGGGAAAATTTGGAGAGAGGTAAAAACAATGAATACGTAGTCCTTGTTTAAAACTGCAATAAGGGTGGCTAGTTATCAGGTTTGGCAATGTTTAGAAACAAAAAAAAATGTTTTTGCAGTTGAAATGCAGCACTTCTTCAGAAACAAACTAAGTATCTCTGTCAATTGTGCAGCTTTCAGTCAGAATTGGATAAACTCAAAATTTAGTCTACCTAAATTTCAAGTGTCATGTTGGTGGGCTACAGGGTGAAGAGTTGAAACTGGAAACTAGATATTTCATAGAAACCAGATATCTATAAATGAATTCTTCTTAGAAGGTACCATGCATCAAGGATCTGTTTCATTGCAACCATTCTGCAAGGTGAGGGCAGGGAGAGATCTCTAATATTTAGACAATCTCACTGAATTAGATATCTGCTAGTATAGGCAGAGGCTGGGAGTTTAGATCCCTGCTGTACATCCCGGAAAAGCCAGATAAGAGGGGAATGGTAAACCACTTCTGAGCACTGTCTACCTAGAAAACCCTGAAAAAGGTTGCCATAAGTAAGAACAGATTTGACTGCACACTATGAAGAAGATGATGATGCAGACAAGTATTAATAATAGATCAATTTTAGGTAACATTTACATAGTTGAGCAGAACGGGATTAGAATGGGGAAGAGCCCCAGATCTCCTCTCAATATATGCTGGAATGGGGTTTTTAAACATTGTCTGTTTCCTGTGCAGTCTTAGGACCTGTTGTTGTTTAGTCGTTAAGCCATGTCCGACTCTTTGTGACCCCATTGACCAGAGCATGCCAGGACCTCCTGTCTTCCACTGCCTCCCAGAGCTGGGCCAAATTCATGTTGGTAGCTTTGATGACACTGTCCAATCATCTCATCCTCTGTCGTCCCCTTCTCCTCTTGCCCTCACACTTTCCCAACATCAGGGTCTTTTCCAAGGAGTCTTCTCTTCTCATGAGATGGCCAAAGTATTGGAGCCTCAGCTTCAGGATCTGTCCTTCGAGTGAGCCATTTAGGACCTAGTAATTCACTATATTTTATGTAATCTACAATGTTTTATTCCAGCTCACAATTTATAAAGTTCATAACTTGTGGTTTTGTCACCCAGTGCTGTCTGCTAATACTTACAAAAAGTTAGATGTCTATATGTTACTAAAAGAACATAAACAGAAAAAACAACCACGTTGTTTGCTAATGCAAAAAAGTGCCCTATTTTCATTCATGTCAAAATTAAAAGGAAGTTGGGGTGGTGGTGAGGAAAAAAAGAAAATATATATATTGTGGAAGTTTAACAGATGTTGTCCTTTTCTGCTTTTTCTTCTATTTTCCTTCAGTTTTGCCAACATACTGAGACAGACTGACATAGATACTTCTTTGGAAATGACTATGTTCATTTCATTCCAGTTCCTAATATAACCTTGTTTCTCCCCCAATAATCATAGAATCATGGAACTGGAAGGAACCTGTTTGCTTCATGCAAGTCATTATTTTGTAGATGGTCCTCCAAGCATGTTTAGACAGGAATCTTTAAATTGTTATAACAGAATCTACATGAAAATGCTATTGAAGAGTGTCCAGAAATATCAGCTGTTCCAACTTAGATGTTTATCCTATGTGTGTTTAAAAGACCACATAAATGCTAGCTTTTAAACAGCTGTGTTGGCTTTCACTTTGTTTCTGAGCCCAATTCTAGGTACTGGTTCTTTTCCACAGCCTGCTTGGGACTAGTGGTCTCTTGAAAGATCACCTTTCCATGCATTAGCCTTCCTGAAATCTGCAATTGTCTTCTGAGGCCATTTAATGTCATGGTGGTGGCAGTGGTTATGCAGAGGTACCTCCATAGCGTACTTAGAATGGCTTCATCTTTCTAGTCCTTTGGCCAAGCGCTGAAGATAAACACTGTTCTGGCAAAAGGTATTTTTATTTGTTCTGTTCTGTTCTGCTCTATTGATTGATTGATTGCATTTATACCTCGCCCATCTAGTCAATCGACTACTCTGGGTGGCTTCCAACATATAATAACAATTTAAAATATAACAAGATTTTAAACGTCAATAAACAGGTTGTTCAAGATGGAAAAATAAGGAAAAAAGAGGAAGAAAGTTCTTATAATTAATCCCTGGTTTTATTACATCAAAGGTTCAGGGGCTACTCTGGGTGGCTTCCAACATATAATAGTCTGGTTGTTCAAGAGCGTGTGCGTGTGTGTGTGTGTGTGTGCGTGCGTGTGTGCGTGCGCGCGCAGGTAAATTACCTGCAGCAGATGAAAAAATTGGAAAATATTGTACATATACTTCTAAGAGAAATGGAAGATTACAAAGAGAAGTGGGCAAATTCAGTTCTGTGCAAGTCCTTGACTATTCATTCACTGGCTTTGCTTTTGTTCAGATAACTGCATGTTCTTGTAGATGTTTCCTCATACCTCTAGAATCTAGATCATGATCTTTGAACAGTTCCCCCCACTTAAGGTTGTTCTAACCACATCACTATAGCAATATGTGCACAACCTTATGTATAAACCTATGAGTGGAATGGTGTCTGCAAGGAGTTCAAATGGAATGGGGGTATATACTGCAGACAGAAGTCTGCTCAGGCAAGATAGCTTTACATCTTCTTTCTCCCATTTGACTCCAATGTCTCAAGCAGTTACATCTGTGGAATTGGAGAATTTTTGGAGATCAGCAGAAATTTCTGATGCAGGAGGTTGATAGTTTCACACTGTTCTATAAAAAGCTATGCCTTGTGAATGATTCATTATCAATAAAACAGTAGATGGGAAACACGAGAATAGTAATCAGAATTGGAGACTAATCATTTTTCTTTTCTGGATTCTCATCTAGTAATTTCTTCAAAATAGTAGATACAAAAAAATTTCTCAACACATTATCTGACATGTTTCTGCATTTATATCTGACAATATAATGCTAGATGGCACACAAAGATATACAGGTGACTTGTAGTTTTGTTTCATTTTTCTAAACTTTGATGAAAAAGCAAAAACAAAAAACACCCTTTATTAATGCTGACTAAGTTTAAATGGGTGCAAGGATCTAGATGAGGAGGTGTCTTTGCAGTATGCAAGTGCCTTCTCCACATCTTCAGGACTTACCAACTGAAACTGATCCAGTTTAACCCAACTAATTGATGTGTTGGACATCTCCTTCAGAAATACTCATATCAACAAAGAGTTAAGGTCCCAGCGGATGCTATCAACTTTGCATTTAAAGTGAGCTGCTAGTCTATTGTGTTATCCTCATTTGATTGTAAATAATACTACATTTGTCTGGAAGAAGTGAGGCCATAGACAACATGGAAAATTTCTGCCTGTTGCTTAGAAGCAGCTTCAGTTAGATGGGAATAGTAGCTTCTTTTAGTGACCTAAGATTATTCCGATGTCTTCCAGATGTTTTCTGACAGTCATGAGGTAGCACTCCATGGAGCTTCCTCCATCTGCTCTCTACACTTTTGTTGCTTCATCTTCCTAAAGTGTAGTACTCAAGATGAGGCCTAATCAATGTTGAATAAAGAGGAACTAGTATTTCACAGGATTTGGAAACTCTACTAACAAAGAGTTAAGGTCCCAGCGGATGCTATCAACTTTGCATTTAAAGTGAGCTGCTAGTCTATTGTGTTATCCTCATTTGATTGTAAATAATACTACATTTGTCTGGAAGAAGTGAGGCCATAGACAACATGGAAAATTTCTGCCTGTTGCTTAGAAGCAGCTTCAGTTAGATGGGAATAGTAGCTTCTTTTAGTGACCTAAGATTATTCCGATGTCTTCCAGATGTTTTCTGACAGTCATGAGGTAGCACTCCATGGAGCTTCCTCCATCTGCTCTCTACACTTTTGTTGCTTCATCTTCCTAAAGTGTAGTACTCAAGATGAGGCCTAATCAATGTTGAATAAAGAGGAACTAGTACTTCACAGGATTTGGAAACTATACTATTGTTAATGCAGCCTAAAATAGCATTTGCCTCACACTGTTGGCTCATATTCAGTTTGTGATCTTTCTTGCTTGTGTTATTACTGAGCCAAGTATCCCCTATCTTGTAACTGTGTGTTTACCTTTTTCCCCTAAGTATAGAACTTTGCATTTATCCCTGCTAAATTTCATTCTGTGTTTTCAGCTCAGTGCCAAAAGACTTCACAGGATTTGGAAACTATACTATTGTTAATGCAGCCTAAAATAGCATTTGCCTCACACTGTTGGCTCAGTTTGTGATCTTTCTTGCTTGTGTTATTACTGAGCCAAGTATCCCCTATCTTGTAACTGTGTGTTTACCTTTTTCCCCTAAGTATAGAACTTTGCATTTATCCCTGTTAAATTTTATTCTGTGTTTCCAGCTCAGTGCCAAAAGACCCTATCAAAATCTTTTTGAATTTTGTTTCTGTCTTCCAGGGTATAAGCTATTCAATCCAATTTTGTGTTGTCCCCAAATCTGATAAGCATTTCTTGCATTCCCACATCCAAGACCTTAATAAAAACGTTGAAGAGCACTGGGCCAAGGACTGAGCATTTTGGTACTCCTTTTGCTACTTCCTTCCAGTGTGAGAAGGAACAATTGATAAGAACTCTCTGAGTATGATTCTGTAACCTCCTGACAGTTGTTCTATCCAGCCCACAGGTACTTAGCTTGCTAATCACAATATCATGGGGCATTCTGTTAAAAGCTTTGCTGATGTCAAGATACATTATGTCTACCCCATTCCCACCATCATCAGGGACAATCAAAATATGAGAGAAGATTAGTCTGTCATCTTTTTGAATTTTGTTTCTGTCTTCCAGGGTATAAGCTATTCAATCCAATTTTGTGTTGTCCCCAAATCTGATAAGCATTTCTTGCATTCCCACATCCAAGACCTTAATAAAAACGTTGAAGAGCACTGGGCCAAGGACTGAGCATTTTGGTACTCCTTTTGCTACTTCCTTCCAGTGTGAGAACGAACAATTGATAAGAACTCTCTGAGTATGATTCTGTAACCTCCTGACAGTTGTTCTATCCAGCCCACAGGTACTTAGCTTGCTAATCACAATATCATGGGGCATTCTGTTAAAAGCTTAGCTGACGTCAAGATACATTATGTCTACACCATTCCCACCATCATCAGGGAGAATACTCAATCAAAATATGAGATAAGATTAGTCTGTCAGGATTTGTTCTTGACAAACCCATGTTGGCTTCTAGTTATTACTGCATTGTTTTCAAGGTGTTTGCAGAGGGACAACTTTATAATCTGTTCCAGAATTTTCTCTGGGACTGATGTCAGGCTGACAGGTCTTTAGTTCCCAGATTCCTCCTTTTTACTCTTTTTGAAGAGAGGGACAATGATAGTGCTCTTTCAATCATCTGGCACTTCCCACATCCTGTATGATTTTAAGAAAATAATAGACAATGGTTTTGAGAGTTCTTCAGTCAGTTCCTCCAATACTCGTGGATGCAAGTTCCTCTGGCCCTGGAGTTTTGAACTCATTCAAAGTAATAAAGTATTCCTTTACTATTTGTTTATCACCACCAAGCTTAAGTCTTAGATATATATTTTACCTTGTGTTTTTACTGGGTCAGATATCTGGCTAGGATCACTAATTCCATATGCATTGGCTGCCCGCACAAGGAAGAGATAAATTGCATTTGGTTTCAGTCCTTTAACTGCAAATGTTTCTGTTTTCACATTTTCTGCTACAGTTTGCCAACTGCTACCAGCTGCATGGCTAATGATAAAGCATAAACATATAAACACAACAGGTTAGTGCTTGTTTATGGTGTAACAACTTAAGCACTATCAGATCATACAGAAGGCATCATACCTGAAGGCCTCTATTATATAAGAGGTTGGAGTTGCACCTGAATTCAAATTAGGCTTCCAGGACAATGTTACTGTATTTTTGCTGACATCAGCAACTTCAGGCTTTGATGGTGCACTGGGAATCAAGTTAGGGTCAGTGGGTCTTGGTGGCTGTACTGGAACTCCAAACTCTAGTAAAGGACGATAGAGAAGATATGTGCAGAAAGCCAACATACGAATGCACCAGTATGCTTAATTTATTACATAACTAGAGACAATGCCTATATTTATGATTCTTCCTCTATACAGAGACATTCTGATTAATTTACCTTGGACTTCGATATAAGCACTCCATGATGCTTCACCACTTGGAGTTGAGGCAATGCAGGTGTACCGGCCAGTGTCGCCCAACTGAAAGGGGAAAATAAAATAAGTTCTTGAAATAACTATTTATCAAGGATCATATGTCCAATATGTTTATGCAACAAATACATTTTACATTTCTATTGCAAGCATTTGCACAGGAACGAGCAAACTGTTCCAGAATCAACAACTGGTGGCACCCCATTCTATTGTATTGCTACTTTCTGTATCTGTCTGTACATGCATGTTATTCTGTTAGACTGTAGAAAGAGCTCTAAGAGTTCTGTGAAACTAGTAAGAGATATGAGGGAAAGATACTAGTATGTGCACATGATCTGCTCAAATATTATGAATACAGTATGTCAATATGAATGAGGAGTATGCTGGTGTGTAAATGGAAAGAAGAGCATTCAAAAGGGGTTTGGTGAGGGATATATGACTGGTCTACAGATGAATTAGCTAAAAAGCACTGTGGATATAAACATAGTGCAGACGAAAGCAGTGGAGAATTGAAGCTGCGAGTAACCTTTAAAACTATATTGCATTATTTTGTTAGGAGACTGTTCTTCAGAGTTTCATATCCAAAAATAGTGTAATTCTAAAAGCAGATGGCTCATGTCATGCTTTGGGACTTTCTGGATCTACCCAGCCACTGTTGTTGGAAATCAGATTTTGGGCAAGATTAAACATTCCCTGGTTCAGCAACTCTCATCTTACATTTGGCTATGCTAAGGTTAACTTTGCAATATGCACTGGACAAGCAAATCCCTCAACTCTCTACTGCTAATTAGTTATTTTGCCTAAACTGTCACTTTTCTGGCATGTAGGGTCAGGTCCTAAAAGAGTTGTGGAAAGAAGCTATATCAGCTCTTCAATAATTGAACTAAATGTCTTAAAAATCCTTATTCTGCCATTTGATGAAGAAACTGAATAGCTTTATGACATCACTTCTGCCTTCCAAGATCCCGTGAGACAATTTCTGTTTCTATAAGCTCCATTAAGCTATTATTATAATTAATAAACAGGTTGAAACCAGCATTTCCCAGAAGAGAGCATGCGTGATTCATTCATCAGAGAGCAGGATAAGGATTGTTATTTTCTACAGCTTCCATTTAGAAAACAAGGCTGTAAGTAAATCCTTCAGAGATATTCAGTATTGAAATGATCCTGGAAATGTTTGGATATACATTTCAGAAAAATAATGAGAGAATACTGGACAGAATCCAACTGAATATATACATTTCACAGCAAATTGTCACATGTTGAGAAGTTGGTGCTTGTATTTCTTATTGTGTGCCAAGTCATGCAACTAGTGTTTCATGCAATGAAAAATTCAAGTGCTGGCTTCTTGACTTGTGACAATTTGCCACTGAGATTTATTTTGTTGAACGTATGCCAGTGGGGCTAAGTAATAAAATTCTGGCTACTAACTATTGCTGCGGAAAGTATAACAAAAACACACTATGTAGGGTTGCAAACAGAACACAACAGTTTATTTTACATATGAGATTAAAGAACAATAAGCTATTATTTAGTAACCTAATCATTTTGACTCCCATAGATGAAATATGATTAGACAGCTTTTAGAAGTGAGAGACTGTGAAGAATTATTACAGGCTTGACAATTTAAGTTCCCTATTATACTCTTATTTACGAAAAAACATGAGTTAGACACTTGATCAATGAGAATGTCTACAGTACAATTAGTGGTCTTTTTTTGAGCTTGCCATGATGCTGATAGTCACAAATTTCTTCAGAGAAAAATGCAAGATAAATACTAACTAGGAGTGTCACTACAAGATGGAATCAGTACATATGTCTTGTACACTTGCATTCTCACAAGATGTTCCAGGTCACAGCTGAAAGTGATAGTGCTGGTTCTCAGTAGTTTAGATAAAATAGTTGCAAATTGGAGAATCAGCAGGATGTGTGCACTGGACTAAGCCCACTGAAAATACTACTACAGAAAACATACAAAAGTTTGAGCTTTAATCCAATGGAACATGCTAAAAACACATTCTGTGGTATGAACTTCTGCATGGGCAGGCCTCTATACAGTCAGATATTGTATGAAAAGATACCTATATATTTGGCCTAGTAGTATGAACCAAGTTATCCTAAGCCAAAAAATTTCCAGCAAGTAAGAACTGTCCTGAAACCACTAGAAACATGCCCTGCTGCATGGTGAGAGCCATGAGGACTGCCTGCAACTTGCAAAGGTGCACATAGGAATGAATCTGATGGAATACTTTGGCATTTGGAGTTCTTCAGGGATTGGGATTATTGAAGATCTCCATGCTGGGAGAAGTCATTCAAAGCTCTGGATTGAAATACCACCAATATGCTAGTAACACTTAGAACTACTACTGCATCTCACCTGTCACTGGGAGAGCAATCAGGACCCTTGAATGCTGCCTGAGTTTGATAATAGGCTGGATGAAAGTGAACAAGCTGGAATTATATACTACAGTTGGAGGTGCTGCCACTAAGTTGAAAGTCACACACAGGGACTGGGCTTCAACCTGTTCTAGAAAGCATTATGCTTCCCCTGATAAATCAGTCTCATGGTGAGACTATACTTCTTCATTTTTCACTGACTCTGCATTCCTAGCTGGAAGGGGTAACAAGGACCGCCTCTGGATAACTTTACTTAGTGTTCTAATTATAACCTCTCCAGTGCCAATCTGATGGGACAATAATTATCCATTCTTTAGTTACATCACATCTTGACTACTGCAATGCACTCTATTTGGGACTGCCCTTGAAGGTATAGGCTCTTCAGCTGGAGCAGTGTGCAACAGCTAGGCTAATAACTTGTGTACAGTACTGCTGTCCTAATATCAGAAGACTTTCACTGGTTGTCAACTGCTTACTGAGCCTAATATAAGGTGTTAATTTAAAAGTCCTACACAGCATGGCTCTGGCTATTTAATGGGCTTTGTTTGTTGTTATTAACCAGTCAGATGTTAAAATCTTCAAAGGAAGCCCTGTTGGAAATGCTGACAACTGCAGAGGTTCATTTGATAAGTACATGGGAGAGTGGTTTTCCTTGCATGGCTCCCAAATTCTGGAATGCACTGCCCTTAGAGTGATTAATAGTTTCTCTTCTCTTCTCTTCAATAATGATAAGAAGGCATAACTTTAAAACTGGGCTGTGAATTGGTGTGATTTTAACTACTTACAGGTTTATTAATTTTAATGTTTAAACAATCTTTTTATTTGATTGTAATTATTCGTGGCTGGATCTGTTTTTACTATTTTATTATTATGTTTTATGAATGTAAGCTACCTTAATTAACGGCAGCAGCAACAATAGGAGCAAAGCAACCACCACCATGTCTATGGCTACAGCCTTCTCCCATGTATAAATACTTTTACCACTCCTTCCATAAAAGAGCAGTTTTCTAAATTAATTATTAGAAAAAATTTACACATAAAACCTGAAATAATGTACCATCTGCTCCATTATAATCTACGGTACCTTGGGAATTCACAAAAAGCTTGAAGAGAAGAATACCCCCCAATAACATTAATATAGTAATTTAACCTTTAAAATTAGAGGCAAAAACACTCCTTCCCTCAACACGAATACCAACAGCAAAGAAAACCTAGACATAAAGCACAGCACACTTTCATTTTCAAACTACCTTGGCATATCGAATCTGTAATGCACCCGTTTCCAGCTGCTTGATTCGAGAATCCTGTGTAGAGATGACAACACCATCTTTTCTCCAGAGAATTGTAGGCATCAGAGGACCTGCAGCCACACAACTGAGTACTAAAGTACCATCCACAGCTACAGTTTGATTCACAGGACCCTGCCGAATGACAGGGGGAGGCCGGTCTGCAATCACTGGTAACAGAAACAACAGGAAGAAAGGGAAGATTTCTGCAACTGGAAGCAATTTTATTTTATCATCTAAGGAACAGTGGTTGCTTTAGGCTTTAAAAGAATCTGCAGATAATTAAATAAGTAATTAAAGTAGAAGACATACATTATTCAGAACACAGTAATATGTTCTTCAACTACAGAATATCCAGTATTATTATCCAGTCCCTGGCACTCACTTAGCTCTCTTAACCTTCAAAGAGATGAAGACTCTGAATAAATTTCTCACCTTCTTTGAATAAATGTCTTACCTTCTTTTTATTTATTTCCCACATCAAATAACAGTCTGCATTTATTAGACAGTGGGAATTTCTCAGCATTTCTGTTACTGAGCATTAGCAGAGTGGAAACAACTCAGAAGAGAGGCTATGCAGGCATGTAATACCAGTTTGACTTCCAAAGTTTTCTGGATTTCTTTGTGGTTTACAATTTTGTAAAACCATTACATATAAATTACCATTAGAGCTAAGCAAAGATTTTTTTCACAAGCATTTTCTGATTTATTCTTTTTTTTTTCTATAAAGTTCCAAAAATAAATCATTTTTACAAAATGGTCAATCATTATATTCCAATGTACAGCAGGTCTGTGAACTGTATGAGTAGCCAATTAATTGATCTGCTGTTTGAACATGTTCATAACATTCTCTAATTAATGTGAGCAAGAATCAACTATAATTTCATGAAAGCTTGAGACTGGTTCACACAACAAAATAACAGAAACCACATGGACAAAAATTTTAGAGCTTGGAAAAAGCATGCTAAACCTAACACAGTGATATTAAATTAAATTTCCATGATATGAAAAAAATATTATTTTATCCAATGTTTTAGAAACATATTTGCTTTGAGATAAGTAATATAGACTATATCTGTATATGTATACTTTTTCTGAGAAAGAATGGACTCATATATATTTGCATGAGAAAGGATTTAACACAAGTAATTTCTAACCTGGATAATTCAGATATTTCTCCACAACCCCCCACAAACATTAACTAACAAAGCCAGTTTGAGTTTCTTATGTCTATAGCCCCACAACGTCAGACATTCCAAAGCCAGGAACAGATATTGGTCACTGTGACCTGTATAGCCTGTGGAGAAATGAGACTGCAGGTGGGGAGCTGCACAACCTTTGGTTAAGGTAATTGTCCCAGGCAAAGTTTTGGCAGTGTTCTGAAAAGAAGTATATCTGAAAGTGATCAAAGAAATTAATAGCTGTGTACAGAGTTAGTCTAATCTAATAAACAGTCTAATAGTTTTTATACTGAAACCAATATCCTTAGCTAACTATATAAAGAAGTAAAAATAGAGGTCAATGGTGACAATCTACACAACACTGTCTGTAAACTGCATGGTTCATTCTAGAAACAATGATTAAATGAATAATGTTAATTCTATAAATTATAAATTTTCAGGTTGGCACTAACAACGTTAATCTCCCTCTTTGAGATATTCAGCACCAACAACTTAATTTTCAGAACTAGTGTTCCAAGTTCTGCAATTTCCCAAGATCAAGGTATTCTGCAAATCCTTTCCACAAAAGAGTTACATTGACACTTAAATGAAAAATTAATTCCATTTATTTATTAACACAATCATCATGCTTTGATTTGCATCATTTACTATTTCATCTAATGTACTGGAAGTATTCTACTAAATGTAAATTTATCTTCTTCCTTGAAAAGGTGCAAATAGCTCTCTAACGTAACTCATCTATATTACACAACATTGTCCAACAGGCTGACTTCTAATTATAATAATTATGCATCTTCAGGTCAATTATGACATATGGTGGCCCTTTCCAGGGTTTCCCAGGTATACAGTACTCAGAAGTAGTTTACTTTTCCAATTTTCTGATGGTGTTCTGGGTCTGTATGGCTTGCCCAAAGCCACACAAGCTTCTCCTAAAGATGCAGTGGGGACCTGAACTCTCAGCCTTTGGCTTCTCCAGTAAAATTCTGTTGTTCCTCAAAAACACTCTTATTTTATTTTCTACCTTGTGCCCTACATTCTTTACAGTATCTTCTTGGGAGACTATTGAGCTGAACAATATTTAGGTACAGTTCAGATGCCAACATCCTAATCCAAGAAGCCATGGATTGTTAGACTGAGAATACACCATGTAGTTACTTTTTCCTTTCACAATGACAATATTCTAGTTTCTTAAACTAAGCTCTATTAAGAATTTAAGAATTTATTTATTTATATATTTTATTTATTAGATTTCTATCCCACCCCCCTAGACAAAGTCTATTCAGGGCGGGTTCCATTAAACATTATAAACTAAAACAATTAAAACAATTCAAAACAATAATGTTAATAATGCTCAAGATGGGAAAACAGAAAATTATAATAAGAATAAAATCAAGTATTGACAGGAGGGAAGGCCTGCCTGAAGAGCCAAGTTTTCAATTGGCTTTTAAAAACTTAACTCTTAAAAAAATAAACTTCTTAAACATTACCATCAGTAACCTCCAAGTATGCTTTTGTTGTAATGCTTCCTGCAACATTTAAAGTTTGACAAATATAATATCCAACATCAGATCGCTGGACGTTTGTAATAGTGAGGTCACCCGTCTGAGAGACAGAAAAACGATTGGAAGACTGAGGAGGTTGGTATGAAAAAAGCAGATTCTGTAAAAAAAGAGTAGTGGGGAAAGCAGCATATCAGGTAGAGTATTGTCAATACATATGTACATTTTAATGTTCAGAATCTTCTATAGAAGACCTTGGCCTTTTCTCTTATTAATATAGTTGAGCCACCATTGGTTCAATTTTCCAGATACAGAGAATATGTTCAGTATTTCTCTGCATGCTTGATGCCCATAGCAGCAAACTCCAAAAGACGATCCCTTCATTAGTTGCTCTCAGTAAAAAAGAATGGTAATCAAGCCTGAGTAAGCCAGCAAGGCATTTCTTATATCTTTGTACTCCACTGTAACACTGAATATATACAACTATGAATGAAAAATGCAAAACTTCTGATATTTGTACAAACACCAAATGAATTAATTAATAAGTATGCAAATATATTATGTAGTTTTAATTTGTGATACCACAGCACTTTGCTGAGAACATAAACGAAACACATATATTTTATACAATACTTTAAATATTTGAAAAATAATATTTTGCTACATTTATCTTCTTTTTTTAATTGATGGAAACTGGCAAATGAGCTTTGGCTATGCATTTTTATGGTAGATAAAGATAAAGGTTCCCCTTGACATTTAGTCCAGTTGTGTCTGACTCTAGAGGGTGGTGCTCATCCCCGTTTCAAGCTGTAGAGTCAGTGTTTGTCCATAGACAGTTTCCGTGGTCACGTGGCCAGCACGACTAGACACGGAACGCCGTTACCTTCCCACGGAGGTGGTACCTATTTATCTACTTGCATTTTTACGTGCTTTCGAACTGCTAGGTTGGCAGGAGCTGGGGCAAGCAATGGGAACTCACTCCGTTGGGTGGATTCGATCTTACGAGTGCTGGTCTTCTGACCGTGCAGCACAGAGGCTTCTGCAGTTTAACCCATAGCACCACCACGTCCCCATATTTTTATGGTACCAACCCCAATTATATATACTGTATCATATATGCCATTCCTGAGTAGGAAGTAGGAGAAGTTATTACACAAAAACAGAGTAAGAATCAAATAGTTGAGTGAATCCTGCACACCTACAGAAGCCTTTGAACACAGTCTACAATATACACTGACCTGAGATGTCCAAATTTGTTTTGTATTTCATTTAAATGCAGCTAGTGACCGTGCTTTATTTGTTTTATGTATGTCATGATACTTACTGTATATTGTATTTTCTACTGTTGATTTTAATGTGATTTGTCATGTTGTGAACTGTCGAAAGAGTGTTTAAACAATGGGGCAGTATACAAATTGAAATAATAAATATATGAACAAATAAATATCAAACAGCAACCTCAAAAGTGAGTTTCGCATATGGCATCAAATGCTAAATTCAGCTTTCTGTTCATAATTTAAAAATACTCAACTTAATATTTCATGAAGATTTGTGTTTAAGCAGTCCCCCACCCCTTTCTGGTAACAATGTCTATTCCTGAAACAATATGTATCATCTTTCATTACACTTTTTAGTCCTAACAGAGTCTTATAATTGATCTTCTTCTCATTTTCATGATACACATTGGCATGTGTTCAACAAAGCCAATAGCAGCAACATCTTGCTTTAAAATTTGGTTTCGGGCAAGACACAATCTCAAAGCAATCTCTGAAGATAGCAAGATACTTGAAAAACTTCCTGTTTTGGAATCCTGTGGGCGGAAAATGCATTGTTGGGTGGGTTAAATAAAGGAATATGTATAATCCTCTGATCCATGTTGTGTTTGCCAATTTTAATATTTTTAAAGCATAACTACACTAACAATTCCTCTCTGTGGTCTCCATATGTAACTGCCAACTCCCCAAGCACATAGGGTGTGTAATGACAGTCATCCTTGTATACCTTGCTTCTCAGCAGAATTAGGCTGCCAGATAGTTGTTTGGTTGCAGTCCATTTCAGCTAGGAAACAGGCTGTATGAGGATGCTGCTTCTAGTCTCTTACCTACAGAACCAAGAATGTTTTGAAAGAGGATACATGCAGAGAAACTATCTTTGCTGCCATTTTCCTCAACACAATTGCTAGGATGCAGGTGGGCTTAAAGCCTCTGCCTTCTCCTAGTGATCCTGAGGAACTTCACTCGGAGGAGACTTTTAAACCACTCCTTAACCCATTGATTTTGAGAAATATCACTGGGACTTGAGTGCAGCTTAAACCTCAAACCCTTGTTATCATCAACGAAGAGATTTATATACGTGTTTTTATACATGTCCTCATATGGGCGTCTGTGTGGATATGTACATGTGCTTATGCACATGCTTGAGTGTAGACAATTGGAGTGCAATGATTTCCAGGAGTTCAATTGAATCACCTCCACTGCCAACTGGTTTAGTATTTACATAAGCAATTCTCCAGCAATGCTGAATGAGGCAGAGTTTGCAGGTACATTCCGGAAAAGGTGAAAGGAAAACAGCTAGGCATTCAGTGAGTGTTTATAAGATGGGAGGGGAATGCAATCTGGGGAATTAAAAGACATCAGTGTTATTAGATGTATTCAAGATAGTTTGACAAAGTTTAGGATGAATCCATTTTACCTGACTTCCTTCTCTTCGCCAAAATATTGCTGGTTGAGGGTTTCCAGTTGCTTCACATTGGAAAGTCACAGTTCTGCCTAATGCAGCCACCTGGTCACGAGGTTTCACCACAAAATGTGGAGGTTCTGAAGGGAGAAAAAACAATAAAATTAGAAGAATTTACTTTCTTGCCATTCATACTATGCTGAAAGAAATGATTTGGACCACCAAAAAAGAGGATTTAAAAGGATACAAATTTGCACACAATGTACATACACAAATTTATATGGAATTGAGTCTATATACCTGACAAATTAACTCTGGGCTATATATGGATTCTTTTTTAATGCCAATCAAGGCAAAGAAAGTGGAGGTTGTACAAAGAAAGATTTTGTACTTTTCATGTCAAAAAGCCTGGTTAAAGCAGCAGCTCATGCTCTATGGTGATCTGTGCATAGTGAGAGTTGTGTAAACTCCTTTTCCATTCCCTCTCCTCCTACCACCCCCAGCCCTGATAGTGAGTAGAGTTCCTGACCAGCCAATAAGTAAGCCAGAATATGCTATAGACAGACACCTTGATCTGAACAGAACAGAACAAAGTAAACACAAACGAAAAAAGTTAGCCATACAAAATATACCTGTTTTTGAACCCTGGGTTGTTAACTGGCAAAAGCTCTATTTAGTTGATACTTACTTGCTTCTCTCCAACACTCTCAATGGGGAGCGCCGAGTCCCTTTCCTCTCTGTTGTTACTTTCAGCACATGACAATTAATGTGTTTCTAAAAGAGAAGCTCCTGTATGCATGCACTCTGGGCAAACAACATTCTGTGAGCAGAAACCTCTCCTTTGCAGAATTCTGTGCTCCAAATGCAGAGAGTGATGATTGAGAGAGAGAGAAGCCATGTACTCCACTGTTCAAATTTTGGAGAGAATTGAGCAAGTAATAACTGAGCAGGGTTAAAGTTGATGGATATTGAGTCCTACATCAAAGTTTTATAACAGGACATGTCTATTTAAAAAATGATACCTGGCTCAGCCAGTTTCTGATGAGGGACTTGCATAGGAAAAAACCCTCATAACAATGAAGAAAACAGTGCTCAGCTTCAACATCACTTTTAATAGGGCTGATGCTTAGAAATGCATCTTTTTAACCCTTTATGTCCAAATTTCCCTTCATTTTGCTAATGAACATAGGGGAAGAATTTAGAAGAGTATTCTAAATGTCACTGCAAAAGAAAAGAAAAATTCCCTCACATGATGTACTAGTAACTATTACAGTGAAAAAACGAAAATGATTGTAAATTCATGGGTTAGATAGATAAAAGTCATCATCATTGATTTACTGTAACTTAGGAGTCATTTAACAGCTTTCATAAGAGGCTTGATTTTGATGTAAGATGGAATCCTTTTTTTTTCAATTTAACTCAAAAGCCCCAGGATTGCTACCATGTAAATTATAACCATTTAAAAATCTTCAGTGCAATTACTGAAGAGGAATGAATCTATAGCAACAGTGAAGCAGAATACCTCCTTCATTTACATAGGCAAGGGCATGTTCAAACAAAATCTATATGTAAATGAAGGCAAATTTGAAACATCTGCTCATCGTGACATTATAAATACTGCCAGCATTGTCCAAACTGTTTGATTTATACAGACGTAAATGGCCACTTCATCTAGCAGTAAATAGAACGTCAAAAATTATGTAAGTTGCATTAAGCTATGGCAGTTGAATGTATTAGGCATAGTGACTGAACTGGAGTAGAAGAAAATACTCTTTCAAAAACCTATGCTTGCAGTGCAACCTTGCAAAAAGAGAGCTTAAATGAAATATTGTACTTCTATGAGATTTTAGAGTTTAATAACTTCTCCAAAATGTTTTAGATAGAATTTTATTACAGATTGCATGCAATTTTTCTTTTGGATTGCATGACTATTTTTCTTTTACCACTTCTCCCTATTATAGCATAGCATAGGATCTCTTTTAAACTTCTATGAGATTTTAGAGTTTAATAACTTCTCCAAAATGTTTTAGATAGAATTTTATTCCAGATTGCATGCACCATTAGTGACAAGAAACAATACAAGCCAATCTGGGTTAGGTTAGTAAAGTAGTTGTGTGTGTGGTTTTTTTTGTTGTTGTTTTGAGGGGAGTTATAATTGAGGATAAATGCAATTTTTCATGACACCATGATAGCCTATTATTTTACTGTGATGGCATTATGGGGGGGGGGTGAGGGTTTGTGAAAATCAGCTTTAGCTAAATACTTTTGAAACGATCCCAAGTGAAGTAAATATCAGAAGCACAGCTTGTTAAAATATGACTTCACAAAGGTGTCATTTTAAACAACCAGGTGGCCATTGCCAGGGTAAGCATTGTGCTGCCCTCAGATATTGTGGGACTATAACAAATCCTATCATTTCTTACCACATGGCTTATGCTCAATGGAATCTGCTCTCCAACAAATCTGGAAAATGTTTTCTATATTCTATGTAGTATACTGAAGAGTACATTAGTAGAAAAATATGTTTTTTATATATGTATATCTAGTATGGAATTTTAGGTTTCTAACTTGTTGAAGCATTAATATATGAGACATGCTGATAACATAGGAACTAAATCAAGTAAGAAATAACAGTTCTACTGATTATTGTTTGTGTGTCTGAAAATTAGCAAGGTTATGAAAACTGAATATAATTGCACCTAAAGTTGTGACAAACAGTGGAATTTCTGATCTGCTAAGATAGGAACCACGTCAGGCCTGAAACCAATTACTGGCCCCAGTTAGAGCAGACCCATGGAATCAATGGAATTTTAGTAAAACAATTAAAACTGCCCAGAGTAGACACGTTCTAGATGGGTGGTATATAAGTTGAATGAATGAATGAATGAATGAATGAATGAATGAATGAATGAATGAATGAATGAATGAATGAATGAAGAGTGTTAAGTTTATTATCAAGGAAGGAAAAGATTGAAAGGCTGGCCTAGAATTTAGCCTAGAGTATTATTATGACTGAATGAAAGGCTACTATCTTCTCAATGAAGAAATGTACAAAAACTGGAATAACTCATTACAATTGCTATAAACCAATGGAGACAGAACTTGAGATTTTTCTTAAATTTCAAAAATCATTTTTTTCAAAATAAAAA